CCAAATTTCGCGCATCTTTGTGATGAAGCAGTTTGCGATTCGTTCTGGATTTCTTGGTAGGTGCGCTGGCTTTGCTTCTTCATGATGTATAACTTCTTTGAGCGCGTCAACACAGTATGAGAAGTCTTTGCGCTGCTCTCGTTCTGTCTGCATCTCTTTTTGCCGTTGCAGGTGGGAATGGTACTCTTGGCGGATTTGGGCTCCGATCGAAGGGTCGCGGAGATTTAGTTTGACGAGCATTGTTTGGCTGAAAGTATGATCTGTTTGTGACTTGTCGAGGGCACTTAATGCCGTCCAAAGGTCGTAAATCGGTATATTCGGGTTCGGTGTTGTAGGTGGTTTGGCTATTATGGGGGGATTTATGTCGCTCTCAGCGCGCTGTCGCTTGAGTGATGGCTCCGTCATTTTGTTCAGCAGATAGATTATGAGCGTGGTGCAACTCGCGTTTTGCGCAAAGGCGAGGAAGAGTCGACGTATTGTCGCGACAGCGTCGCGAGGTTATGCGATCCGGCAAATTCCACGGCGAAAACAAGAAGGTCATCTTAATAAGTGGAGCATCTCTACTGGATCGTGATCTCTGTTCCGTCCGGAAAAGTCAAAGTTCTTGCAGCTCTCAATGGCCTTCACTCACATCGACGTTCGAAGCCCAATTACGAGCCCTCTCATTGGCCGCCCCACCCACTAGTGGGTCCACATTAGGCGGCTTAGGGGTCAATCCAAACGCAGTTGAGAGCCTCCTGCAACGCAAAGATTTGGAAGTGGTGCTCAGCTGGTGGCTACGCAGATGCTGGCGGCGTACACGACTTGACATTGAGATACTAGACAAGGGTACTAGAAGCTGTCGGTGATAGGAAGTCCTAACATCACCTGGATAATGACAAGAAGTCAGCCCAAACTCGGGATTACAGATCAGCATCTTCTCGCTATCTTCTTCTTGTGTTCGGCCGATATCCATCGGTTCATCGCGTCGGTTTGAGGGACGCTGCAGTAGGACTTCGCTCCTCATTTCCTCCTCATGCTTCCTCTTCGCCTTCCCCATCCTCCTCCGTCTCATCCTCACAAGTAAGATTTGCGATCACGTCTTGGAGCCCCTCGAAAACGCAATGATCGTCGGCAAGCTCCTTGAGTTGCTCCATTGCTTTTAGGAACGGCCTACCCGAATATTCTAGGGCACACACCCTCTCGCATTCCTCCACGCTCATCTCGTCAATGACGTCGTTCATTGAGCTTTCCAAAGAGTCATCCACCTGGAAATGATTACGGATTTGTTTACCGATCTCCTCTTGGCCTCCACATATCGACACTGCAATGCAGCGCAGAGCTATAAGCGCGTTTATCTTCGTTCCGAGAGAAGCATACTCCTGAGTGGCTTGTTCGACAATGAGTGTAAACGCTTCTTCTATTTGTCGTATGACGTCGGAAGCGGCGTCATATTGCTCGGAACCGCTCAGATCCATGTAACGGTCTTCGATTGAATAAATCACTTTATCGGCGTGACTGCTGAAACTGATGACCTTGTGACGCTCTCGCTCAATGTATTCCTCTTTGTGATTGCGCAGGGTTGCGGCGATCTGTGGTGTAGCTAGAGCTGCCTTCAGAAGTATTTGCTTGGTGAGCTCGCCATCGTCGTCTGCATACAGCAGCAGTTCGATGCAATGCTGAAGATCAGCTTTGGCGTAATAGTCGGCGAAAAGGTCGGCGAACGTTGGCTGCGCGATTGGACATTGGTCGGTGTCGACGCGCTGGCGTTTACGTGGTGCTTCCATGCCGCTTTCGATTCCGTAGGACGTGGACGTGATGGTAATATATTGTGATTTCTGAAGATGCAGTTGTGACGCGTCGCGTCAGGATGTCCGAGATGATCACGCGCGTTGCGCAGAGATACGTTGAGACAATGCCATGAGAAGCGGGAGCTGTCTCGGAGCGACTATAGGGGACGCGTGTTCATTTTTTGCCGTGTCACCGTCTCCGGGAAATGAGTATAATGATCCGCGTCAAAAAGTTATTGATCCGGGTCAAAAAGTTATTTGTCCTGGTGGAAAATTTCCTAATCCGGGTCATCTTTTGCGCTAGTGAAAGTTATTGATCCTGGTTAAAGGAACACCAAAATCATGTGACGGTCGGCATCAACGCCTGGCTTGATTTCCTTGGTCTACGCGTGTCTTGCATCTTTACGAAATGCTCTCTAGATAGCATCAGAGAAACAAGGCGCCCGCCTGCCGAAAACGAAGGAGACATCGACTAGTCAGGGGTATGATGCAGCGACTCAGGCGGTAACTCGTGGGATGACATGGGCTTCGTGCGCAGCTACTTCTTGAGTCGCAATGTGTCGACATTTGGAAGGCAGAGATTAGCGACTGCTTCAGACTGTGTAGTAATGACCATAAGAAGAAGATGGGCGAAAGCATTCAGAGAGTTTGTCGAGGTGGCTGGAATACCGCAAGTCTGATGATGTAGCAGCAGCAAGTGACGAGCATGTGGGGCAAGGTGCGACTGACAGCTTATCTCCGGGCTGCGCGCCCAATACTCCACGCCAGATTCACACGCAGCCACGAAGGTCCACTGCAGCGGAGAGTAAGTAAGCGGGTGGCGTAAAGATGTGCGAACCCGCCGTGATACTATCAAAGAGGGCCTGAAGCATTACTCTTGTTAACGTATTTAGCCCCTTCTAGAGCCGCATCCTCTACACACTCCTGGCACTCCAACATGAAGCAAGTCGACTCAGAAGACCCAAGAATGGGTGGTGCACCGAGCGTCACTCTCCCAGAAACTTCAGCATCTCTAAATGTAGAAGAATTTGCATCACAACCACAAAGTCACGGTCGCACAGGTTTCCCAAAACAAGGTGGACAGTCGCTTTCGTATTGGTTACAGCAAGTTCGATGCGATCCACTCCTAGATCACCGCACTACCGATGAGCTACCACAAGAAGCCGATACGGTTATCATTGGTTCAGGCATCACAGGAACGCTCGTTGCTAAGCACCATCTCGAGACGTTTCCCGGAAAGAAAGTGGTCATTCTCGAAGCGAGAGAGTTCTGCTCCGGCGCAACAGGTCGCAACGCGGGCCACTGCAAACCTGATCAGTGGTGGGGTTACGGGAAACACGCCAAAGCGTACGGCCACGAGCAGGCGGTCAAGATCTTGGACAACGAGCAAGCTACGTGGGAAGCGTTGGTAGCATACGTCAAAGAGAACAACGTGGATTGCGATCTCTGGGTTGGAGAGACCCTAGACGTTCCCCTGGACGAAGAAGTTGCGAAGATAGCTAAAGAAATATTCGAGAGGTACGCGGAAGCAGGTGGAAAGGTCGACCATATTCAAGTTACCCACGATCCTGTCGAAGCGGCGCAAAAGTCTCGGATCAGGAGTGCGAAAGCTTGCTACGCATGGCAGACATCGACCCTCCAACCGTGGAAGCTGACTGCACACATCATGCGCGATAACATAAGCAAGGGCGCCAACCTACAGACTCGCACTACTGCGAGGTCTATCTCTGACGGAAACGGATCTAGGAAATGGGTCGTCCACACGGAGCGAGGAGACATCGCATGTGACACCGTCGTGCACGCTACGAATGCATACAGTGCAGCCCTCGAGCCATCACTTCGCGGTATCATCACGCCCAAGCCGCATATGTGCAACAGAGTAGTTCCACCGCAAGCCTTCAGCGGATCAAAGGCTATCAGCAACTCCTATGGTGTTCTGCTACCGGATGGCGCATTATTCAGTATCAACCCGCGTTCGTCTTCAGATGGCAACATTATGTTTGGTGGCTCCAATCCAGGCCAAAAGGAACTGGATGCATGGGTTGAGAAGAATCCAGAGAACTGCATCAATGATGGACTTGCGAACCTAGAGGGTGTGACAAAGCATGTCAGAAAGCTTGCAGCATCCGAATTCGAAGGTTGGAAAGACGCCCCTACAGGTCCAGGGGAAGGCTTTGAGTATAGTTGGAGCGGCATCATCGGGCTGAGTGCGGATGGTGTGCCGTTCGTCGGAGAGCTGCCCGGAAAGCCTGGTCAATACATTTGTGCTGGCCATCATGGACAGTAGGTTCAATAGTCCACGAAGAAGTGCGAGGCTAACATCGGGACAGTGGGATGGCGCGAATCTTCACAGCAGCGCCTGGCTTGGTGAAGCTCATGAATGGTGAAGACTGGGGCGCGACGGGATTGCCAGACGTGTACCAGGTGACAGCGGAAAGACTCGAGAAACTAACAAGTATGAATCCCGCACCTGCCATCGCGGTTATATGAGGAAAGGAGTTCGTACTTGCATGACTCGCGCACTTGAACCGTCCCTTTCCTTTCCCTTAGCTACCAAAAATAGCACGCAGAACCACAAGAAAAACACGAACAGCGCACAACTTTCCGTAATCATGTCTGGGACGCTTGCGCGACCGCAATTTCGACCCCGTCACCTGCAGTGGTTCACGAGCGTAAGAGGCGGTGAACTGTCACAGTCGGAACCGTGAAAACGCATGCCACAATCCACACTTTTCCTCTTTTCTTTCCTAACGCAGTAACTTTGTAACTCGTCTTCTGCTCGCCCTGGCTTTAGATCGTGGTAGCGAGGCCGCAGCGGTAATTTGCTTGGTGTTGTGCCGCTGCGTAGCTTATTGGTTTGGGTGTTGTGGAAATTTGACACGGCGGTGTCGTGCTAGGTGGTTGTTGCCGGTAGCGAGGGAATAGGCAATATAACGGCAGGGGCGATAACGGTTTGTACGACCGTAAGCGCATGGCTCTGCATGGGAGGTCACATCTTCAGATCCTCGGTTTGCAGCCTTGTCTTTGGGTTGGTGACAGACGGTACTCTGACAGCTCGTGGAAAGTGCGGGGTGCGCTCGGGCCGACATCGATGCGGCGGGTACGAATGACTTCACTCCGGACTATACATGTCCGCTAATATATACTTCGGATGACAGCCAGGGCTAGACGAGAGCCAAAACTGGTCGTACCTCAAGATTGAAGGACTACACTCACCGGAAAGTTTACGTCATGTCTAGCCTACCAGACAACATCCGCAGGACACTCGAAGTCCTACTTCCCAAGATCAAGTCGCAACATGAGGAGTCGTCAAAACCTATCATACTTGGTATCACCGGTCTGCAAGGCTCAGGCAAATCGACATGGGCATCAGAGCTGGTCAAGATTCTGTCGAAAGATCATGGCCTCCATACGATAACTGTTTCACTGGACGATTTTTACAAGACGCATGATGAGCTAGTGGCCCAGCGGGATCGTGATCCAAACAACAAGCTCTACCGTACTCGTGGACAGCCTGGTACACATGACGAACAGCTAGCTCAAAAGTTCTTCGGCGATTTGAAAGAGTACACCGGAAAAGGCGATCTCAAGATACCCAGCTTCGACAAGAGCAAGTACAACGGCGAAGGTGACCGAGCACCCGAATCAGAATGGCCAACAATCTCACAAAAGCCTGACGTTGTTGTCTTCGAAGGCTGGTGCGTCGGCTTCCAGCCAGTTCCGCTGTCATTCATCGAAGAACGACATTCGCTGGCAAAAGCCGGAAAGCTCGCCGTCAACACCCCTGCAAATCATCAGCTGCCTCATTTGTTCGAAGTCAACGACAACCTCAAGCGTTACTGTGATGCATTCATGGGGCCCCAGCACTTTGACTTCTTCATTCATATCGATACGGATGATCTGAGGAACGTGTACACGTGGCGGCTGCAACAAGAGCACAAGATGATTGAGGTCAAGGGGTCGGGAATGTCGGATGAGCAAGTTCGCGCGTTCATTGATGGGTATATGCCGAGCTATGAGATATATCTAGAGCGCCTACGCGAAGGACTATTTGATGATAAGGGTAGGATGGTTAGGGTGGTGTTGGATAAGGAACGAAGGGTTGAGAGGATTGAGGAGCTGTGAAAGAGCAGGTGTTTACATACCGATATGCAACCACTCTTGGGCGACTGTAGTAGAAGAACAGGGGGGGAATGAGCGACGGCAGAACTAGGATGCGGAATCGGGGATCATGAGAGGGGGAGATTTACTTGATGTCTTTTCACAGCGTGCGCTTTATCTAGTATACTCACTTTCACCATCACAGCGCTTAGTTCTCTGTCGTACTAGAAAAATCGGATTTGCTGAACGAACACACCACCGCCAACGCCACCTCTTGACTTTCATCTGTGTTGTTTGCATTTGATCATGGCTAAGGCGAACCACTATCAGGTCCTCGGGATCGATATCCAAGCTAATGACGCCGTGATCAAAAAGGCATATAGGCGGGTTGCGCTCGCGAACCATCCCGACAAGACCCTGCACTTGTCAACAGCAGAAATCGAGCAGCGAACACAAGTTTTCAAGTTAGCGACGACTGCGCAGGAAGTTCTGCTCGATTCCGCGAAGAGAAAGAGCTACAATAAGACACTAGCGCGGACAGTGAAGCCATCCAGTGCACCAACAGCGCGACCTCCCTCAGCGAGACCTCCTTCTGCGCGACCTCCTCCAGCGCGACCTCCTCCGGCGCCTGCATCCGATGCACCAGGCTTCAAAAGGCCTCCGCCGCCCCGAACCACATCGAGGGGGACTGATCCGTTTCAGCCTCCGAAGTTCCATTACTTTGGTAACCCAAAGGAACCTCCACAAAGCAACGCAACGCAAACACCACCCCAAACTCCCCACCCCTTCACCGCCGGCAACCCAGCCACATGCCCTCCACCTACCCCCTACTTCCACGCCCCGGTAACAGAAACGCCCGAACGCACAATCCTCACCTACTCCAACAACGACAAATGGGCTTTCAGTATCGGCGTCTCGAAAAAGTACGAATGGACCCTGGCTCCCACACTGCCTTCCCTGGGCGAAGAAACGAAAGACATGATTGCGATAAAGTTCCGCCTCCGCCGAACGAGCACCACCCCCGCCACCGTCTTCATCAAAGACATCGTGCTAACCGTTGAATCTACACCTGACAACCGGAGTGTAGCAGTCAGTTCCATCTTCGCCGAGAGGAAAGATGGTATAGATCTTTGGATTACGCTGGCGGGGATTGGTGAAGTGCCGGGTAGTACCATACCACCATCGGTCAAGCAGTCATGGATGTGGACATGGGATATAGATATGGGCTTCCTGGTTCCGTTCTACAAGGCATTGAGGGCAACGCACTTGATGTTTTATCCGCAGTATCCTGTGGATACTGTAGATGTGAATGGGTCGACGCCACCGACGAAGGGACCTTTTCCGATGGGGTCGCCGGCGGCAGAGTTGGTGAGGATATTTGGGGAGATGGTGTTTGTGGGTATGACGAGGCAGTCCTATTGTCAGGAGGTGAAGAGGGAGGGGAAGACGTTTTGGCAGCTTGCTGCTGTGGGTCATGTTTGAGCTGGATGGCAGAAGTGTGATGCTAGATTGGAGGTGTGTTGGTCGTGCTATATGCTGTCAGCATGTGAGGTAATAGAAGAGGTCGCTGCTACTGCAAGGATGGACTGCATTGAATAGTGAGTTTGTTGATAACGAATAATACTTCTTGATTCTATGCTCTTATGAAACCAGGCCGCTCAGAACGCCAAATATGCAAACCATCTAAAAATGATCTATAGGACACCAGGGATGGGTCCTTTCTTCTCGTTGGAGCCCAACTCTTCCTCGTTCCATCCACTTCCAGCGCCAACCTTGCGGCCGCCCTCCTCTCTCTTGATCCTGCACCAGAGACTGATGTCCTTGTCCCAGATGAACTGCCAAATAACGTATACCCAGCTCTTGTGTTGCGGCAAGTCTTTGTAGAAGTCGTGCGCGATACGGTTTAACGCGTGGAGGCGCGTCCAGGGGATCGCAGGGAAGTCGTGGTGCTCGTTGTGCAGACCGACGTTGTAGGTGAAGAAGTTGAGAGGTCCGTAGTACGAGTAGGTCTCGGGGAGGGGGATCTTGTTGGCGGGGTTCGACGGGTCCTTCTTGGGCTTCTCGAAAACGTAGTGCTCGGCGATAAAGTGACCTGCGCACGGGTGTAGAGATCCGGCAAGGAAGCTGCTCATGATCAGGTAGCCCAATGCCCTTCCTCCTGCAAATCGAACGAGCGCGAAGTCGAATGCGAGCTGCACAACGACATTGAAGAGGTGAATCTTGGTCATTGGCAGGGCGTAGACGAACATAGGTCGGAGGGCGTAGAAGAGGATCTGGAAGGTCGCGAAGAAAGCCTTGCCAGCGACTGAGTCAAGGAAGATAGCCTCAAAAGCAGTTGGCAGATCGGTATCCAGACCATTGACACCCAGCGACTTGTGATGTGTCAGATGGTAGGGCCTGAAGGAGGCGCTGTATGGAATGCCAATTGGCAGGTTCGCAAACACGGCAAAGATCCTGTTTGCCTGAGGCGATCGGAAAGCCAAGTTGTGCGATATCTCGTGAATGGCGAGGAAAAGGTTCTGGTTTGCCGTAGCACCGATTACATATGCGGTAAGGAAGAATGTCCATGATATGACGGGCGTATTGCGGAGGAGGTATGCGCAGAGGATTTGGATCGAGACGACGAGTAGGACGACGTATTTGGTGAGAGGCTCAGGGCCACAGAGCTTCGTTACCTGTATACGATTAGATTATGCTCAATTGCAATGCTATCATGAGACTTGTACCTCTGGATGTGCCTTGATAATGGCCATCCGCCGTGTCCTATGGGGCTCCTCGGTGTATGTCCAGAAAAAGTGGTCGTGTTCATTCTTGGCTTTTGGCTCCTGCTGTTTCTCCCCTTTGACAGTAAAGCTTCGAGGAACAGGCTCCTTGGACGGCACTGTCGCGGTAGAGACTGAAGACCGCATGTTGGGCAGTCGTAAAGAACAATTGCAGAGTGTGTGAAGGGCAGAGGGGTCCAGCTCTCGAAGTTTGTGGAGTACTTGACCCTGAGCTTGGCGCTAGTGGAGGCGGTGGGGCGATCTCACGCCATGATTGGCTGATGATCAAGCTCCGTTCGCCACCCCGCTAGCGCAGGAACGATAAGCTTGCCTTCTAGAACACCAATTTAGACCATGCTGAGCTCACCAGTTCACGTGTAGAAGAGATGTCTGATGGGCAGTTTCATCTTCAATTCCTCTGCATTGATAGACTGCTAGCCTCACTGTACCACTCGCCACTATGCGCCACTTTCACCAGCCTTCAGTCGTCCGACTGCAAGTAAAAGGCCCACTGACTTCCCACGCCCTCTATATTGCCCGGGAATAGTTTCATCCCGGGAGAATACTTCTCTAGCCAATCCATAAAACGAGTATCACTCTGGTCCTTGCTGAATTGTTGATTTGGGGGTCGGCAAATGATGAGACTGGGTTTCTTCGATCGTGGAGTATTTGCGGATTCAGCGTGAGGTGTCCCCTCGCCCCAAGTGTGTCCAGCGAGGACTTGTCGAAGCGGAGTGGTCAGATTTAACGTAATGAACGCGTACGCATTCTCATCTTGCCTTATTCCGTTCCATCCACTTCCGTTATTACTCGCGCGGACATGCACGAGTGGGCTGTGAGGTTCGGGAGGGTTGACCATGAATTCCTCTCGTAAGAATTTGATGTCCCACTCTGTGTAGTATGGATCCTCGAAGATGATCTCTAACGGAAGAGCATCAGGCCTTGGAATATTGTGTTAGTTTATATTCATAACGATGGTTCAGACTTACGAATTGGCCAATCTTGCTTTGTGGAGCAGAGCGCAGATTACCACGCGCGCCAAAAGATGGGCTCTGAGGGCTTGAACGAACTCATCGGACTCCTCTCCCATTACAGCTCTGTTCATCGTGCCCAGGCCCATTACTAACACTCTTCGGATGGTTGTTCGTGTATATAATATGTTTCCCAACTCATCATCGTATCCAAATCGTTCTGGCTTGGGTCGGTCTATGGTGGAGTCGGGACGCTTTAGACCAGTGTAGCCGATCTTCGGCAACATCAGGGATGCTACCGGGGCGCCAAGGTTATGGTACCAATATGGCCTGATGTCTGGCGCATACCAAACTAGAGCGAATTCAGAACGTGTTTCTTTGATCCAAGGCGGACTCCCTTCGGCGAGCTCTTGAGTGGTAGCGTGCCTTCCTATACCCGTGTGTCCGACGTGAGCGACTTCGTCGTAATCTCTCCATGGTCCGCTTTCGTTGTCAGGCACCTGTGTGATGGCAGCCCTAATCATAGCCTTTTGTGCGTCAGGTATACGGTTGGTTGTTGCTGACGATTGGGCTTGCTGTGGTGCCTGCATGATGATGGACTTGTCTTCGTGGATTGTTGAGCTTGTGTCGTGGGAATGTATGTATGAATTCGGTGGTTGCAAAAGAAGAAACGTACGAGAGCTGCCTTTTATACTCCTCAGTCTATGACTCTAATATCGAATTGCTCAATACTACAGTTATATCTACACATTTATGACTGTTCAGTGAAACGTAGAACTCACCTCCGGGAGATACTAAGACGGCTAAAACGGCCCACGAACCATCTGGTGCCACTTTCCATGAGTGCAGTAATACCTTGACTCATACAAGGTGATTTTTGCTATAGGCTTGGCCACTCAAAGCGATCTGCTCGGCTCTGGTAGCAGGAATGTCGCTTGCAGGCAACCGTGCAAGTGCCATTTTCGGGTATCTGAGGTGGTTGCGTAGTTCGCAACGACTCGAAGAACGTCGCACAATGATGCAACCTCTGGGCGTAACATACGAGGAATGTAGCTATGGCAGATGCTCGGATCTTGTACAACCAATGTTCTATTTGGCATGCATCACTATCTATCAGCTCTTGTTGCGAAAGTATCTCTCAAAGGCAGTGACTGCATGCCATTGTACAAATGATCTTATTAAACTCTACATTTATTATGCATGGAACGTGCGTCAGCATAGGGACAGAGCGCTTGCACAAGAGATATCTGTCTAGAAGTCTTCTTTCAGAATCTTTCGAAACCTACGGTACACTACACATAGTGGGTTAAATGCCTGGTATATCAGATTTTTTCTAACAGTCTTTTACTATGATGGCGAAAGCTATAAGCCTTATTTTACACCTAGAACGACTCAAATCCTAGTTAAGTATTGTGCTGCAATATTCTCATCCATCTGTAGTGGCCTAATAAACGGGAATTTCAAACACAAAAAATGCTACTACAGTGTCATTCTATGGACTGCCTACATCTAATTACACAACCTTGGAAGCCATGCATCCACCGTCCCACACCGTAGTATGCTACCACATCCTTGTATCATTACATCTCTACAGACTCCCCGAGTGCTCCTAAGCCGAGCTTTGTCCACCACCCTGAGTCAGAGAGCCAGTACGTCTAAACTCCGGTTTTAGGATGTAAAGACAGATATCTCCTCCGAATGGCTTATCATTGTCGTTCTCCTTAAACTCATGAACGTTTTCATAGAATCTCTTGAACCAGTCCTCGACACGAGCATCCGTTTTGTCTTTGGGTTCGCCTTCCTCCTCTGCCTTTCGACAGATGATTGCGCGAGGCATGATAAACTTATCTTCGGGGACTGTCTTTACATTCAAATGTTCGGCGGTATAGAGGAGGGAGGCCAGAACCTGTCGGATGGGATTCTTTGGATTGAAGGTGATGAACATGTAGTCTCCGTTCGTCCCTAGAGTGCCATCCCAACCTGACCCATTGTTGTTCACCACTCGCTTGATACGGTTCCAATCAATCCATCTTTCTTTGGGGTCATTAAGGAATGTGTTTACCAGGAAGTTGTAATCTTCCTGTCTGTAGTGACAATCTTCGAAGATAAGTCTGAACCCTGCTGGCGGTGCATTAGGACGGGGCTGGAACGAACACACTACCGTTAGCATCTCACAGCATGGCTCCATCGGTAGAAGTAGACTCACACTTTGTGTCTTTACGAATTCGTCCTCCGCGTCTGACAATACTTTGAAGACACTGCGAACGAACATATGTGCCCGCGCTACACTTTCGTACTCTGATCCTTCTTCGCTGCAGCAAAGGCTACCAAGATCCATTGCCACAATATTGCGGATGCGGCCTCCAGCACCCAGAAGGTGGTTTAACAGCTCCTCGTTCCAGTAATCGTCGTATTCCGGTAACGTGCCCTTGAGTCGTTTTCCTTCAAGCACCGTGATGTCTGCCTGAACAGCGTATCCAAGGCGCTTTCGTTCGGAAATAGAGCCATCTGTAAGCCAGAACTGAGAATCAAGAAGATTTGGATGGTATTCGATATATCCCGAGTATGGGTAACACCCGTTCGTATTGGTCTTGTGGCGGAGGTTGGCGAGTGTGAAGCGGGTGTTTTTGCTCAGGTCAAGCGGGGGCGGATCCGGGGGCGGATTCATGGCAGAAGAAGCGGACATCTTCAGTCGTAGATAGAATTGAAGGTGATACGTTTAGAGTTGATCGCTGTAGTTGATGCTGATCGGCTTGCCGTTGATACGTATGGCTTGCTGGATTAATCGTTGGATTCTTGAATGCTGGTTCGGTAGCGTTAAGGTAAGAGACTGTTGACCAGAGAAGGCCTTTTATAGTGCTATCCAAATGACTCAACTCATAACGAGCATCATGGCGGAAGAAGGAGTGAGTCTGGCTGAGTGGTCTGTGGTGTCAGATACGGCTGGCGAGTCACCTTTAGTGTACCCAGCAGCGGCTCGTGGTTTTACTGAACCTTTTTGTGCTACGATACAGGAATCGATATGACTCTAACGGAAGCGAGTATCCGTGACATCCAATCGTTGGCGCGTGCCGTTGAGGGCCAACTCGACACAAAGAAACTCAGAGCTTTGACACAACTCAGAAAGTGACTCTCCACGCCGCACGAGCCTTGGATCACACCCCAAGATGGACACTCTCGACACATGACTCTGATCTGACTGAATATGCTGGAAAACATGCGAGCAAGTACCGATCAGCACAGGCACAAGTCGGGTGTGTGCGCGTTCACCATAGTACGAGATACTCAGGAATGTAACGCACAGTCAACCTGGATGCTTTTGCTATGATGTGCCGCGTACGACATATGAGCGGGGTATCATAATCTTTTCGTTCCTTTTACGTCATTCCATATCTCTTTCCCGATATTCTTCCAGTTTCCGACCTCTTCATCACTTCTCTTTCTCCTGGTGAGGCCTGATCGCCTGACTTCCACGAGCCATACCACGCCCCAGTAAGCGACCGACAACGACACTAGTACATATGCCAGCCATACGATCAGAAGCACGGATGTACCTTGATTCAGCTTCCCCCCAGCGACGTCGATGATGTCACCAGCCACCGAGAAAACCCCAGATATCAACACCGTGAGCAACACGGCGGCGACAAATGCGAATGCGCTCGCAAGGAATGGCCAGAAGATGTTGAAGTAGGCGAGAAGCTTTGAGTGGGGAAAGATGATGGCTGGGATGGCGGAGACGGCGGAGAAGCCAGCACCGACGAGCGAGACGAGTAAGGAAGCGAAGACGGTGTATCGCACGCCGGCCAATACGGTAGCCATAGTCCTAAGGAGTGTTGATACTAGGATGATTGGGGAGAGTGGGTCTTGAGACCCGTCAGTTGGCGTTGTCAGTGTTAATAGCCCTACAGAAGTATGGTCAGTCAAACCCCAAACGCGTTCGGAATTGTGTTACTCACTGTCACTGGCCTCGCTGTAGCTTTCGCATAATTCTACGACAACGATATCGGAAGCATGATCTTGAGCATCCGAAATAGAGCCTGAACAAACTGTCCTGAGGTAGAGATAGTAGACGTCTGCTAGGGCCTCGCCGTCCATGCCTTCCGACCGTTGCGATGTTGCATCTGACTGCGAGCTCTCTCGGGCCATCGTACTTGTATTCAGCTGCGGTTTGTCAACATTCGTCTTCATTTCACCGAGGTCGGCATACGTACTGCCACGATGTACTGTCCACCAAACATATGCTCATCGCTCCCCGCCAGTACCAGTACCAGCGTGAAGACGAAGCTTGCGACCGCGAATGCGATCGAAAGGATTGCAGAGAACCGGTACTTCATCAACACCCTTTTCGGTGTCTTGGGCGGCGCCGGCAGGGCCTTGTCGGTAGACTTCCGCAAGTCTCCAAGATCGGGCTCAATTGCGATCTCTTTCCCCGTGTAGAAGGTCTCTTCTATGTGATCCATCTTGCTCGTCGACACACTGTGTGGTTGAAAGGCGCTAGCGGCGAGACTGACAGTGCTGACGGATGTCAGTACATAAGGATGGGTGTATGATGTCCATAGCAGAAGACATATGCACTGTCGCAGAGATGATAAGTAAGGCGCTTCAACATGCGTGCAGCATGACGCAACTGTTCCTGGTTATCGGGAATCTTCAATCTCGATGTCTGGGAAGCATGGATGTACGTGGTAGACTTGTCGCATAATCATAGTGTTGCATGATAGACCTGCTATATACCGTCGCGGATACGGCACATATAGCCTTGCGCGGGGATAGACCGGTGGTTTCAAACAACCTGCTAGTCGCCAGATCGCGATGAATGTGCGAATTCGGCGATCAGCGTTCCTGTTTCGGCGTCGCAGGACGTGGCCAAAGCGTGGCATTGAGCAACAACCAGCTTCAGATGGATGGGGTCTGAGATGTTTCGTCGGCATCCAAACAACTTGCGCATGGCCGGGCCCACGCATTGGGGGTACGCATCGTGCCGAACTGAGAGCGGTCGTGAAGTTCGCGAATGCGAGGTGGTAGCTCCCGCAGAAACGGGGAGCGCTTCACTAGTGCGACTGAAACGCCGAACTTTAGGGGCGACGATCGTGACCTCTCCACATAATGCTTGAGCGATACCACGTCGCTCGGGTACATGTGCCAAAGCCTTTTGGTTGTCGAAGAGTGACCGAGAGTTGGTAAAATATCTGAACGCGCAGTTGTTCTACTGCTAGAAGAACGATCCTGGGGGATATTGTCCAAGAGACTGCGGCTGGAGGTTGGGAAACGCATCACCCTAAACATGGGTTAGTACAACAGCACCTGATGAGCCGAGCTAGACGTACCCAATCGAGAGGTAAGGTATACTGGTCCAGATCCATTGGCATGAAGCCAAAATCGAACGGGTGACCAAAAGCACTATTGCCCATGTCAAAAGCATCCGAGTCGGGAACAGCAAATCCAAGATTGTTGGTGTCGAAAATCTGGGATGGGGAAGTCAAATCAGGTTGGGCACCTATGTGCGCCGCTTTCGATGACGTTAGTAGATGTAAGCGGGTAGTAAATAAGATGCCGCTCACCGTGCGCCGAGTCGGTAGCCTGTACCCCACTGCCGTGAACTTTAGAGAGAACAAGCTTCACGGCTGTAGCAACCTTCCGTGCCTCCTGCGATCTCTTGCTAGCCCTGATCCAGATGTGATAAGCGGAGCGCAACGACGCGATGATTTCCTCTTGCGTCGGGGACGCATGGTCCAGTTGCACCCCGCTTTCCATGAGCTCAGAAGCCGGTGGGATGGGAGCAATGAGGTCTTCATCAAGCTCGACTACCAAGACGGTAGTCGCGAGTAAGAAGTCTTGCGCAATGATGGAAGACATGTACAAGCTCAAGGTAGAGAGACGCCACCCTGGTGAAGTTAGTCTACCTCCTGGTTGGACCTCAGCGTCAAGCTTGCTCTGAAAGCGAAGCATCTCTATAGCAGCGTTCAAGCAGACCCTGCGAGAGTATGCATATCTGCTATCGGTTCGGCCGAGGACGAAGTAGGGTCGATGCAACATAAGCTCGGCCTTCAAGAAGGCTACGTTCAAATACGTGTAGCGCATGAAGTCTGGTGATAAGTCGGTATTAGGATCGTCGAAGGTGTTTGATGTGGGCGACTGTGGTATTTTTTCGAAGACATCTCTTAGTGTGGCGTCCATCTCGGTGATCTCTCCGTACGGTGGCAGCGATGTAGCATTGACGAGATCTACAATTCTGGCCTGCACGCTTCTCAACCTTGTGAGAACGATGGAGTAAAGTAGTTGCGTCAACTCAGTTTCGGGCCTTGACGGTGGTAGTTCTAGCATATCTTCGTGAAGGTCATCTTCACTTAAATTGCGAGGCTCTTGAGTGTCGTACGTAGACGGCATGATCGTCCGTGGCAGTCCGGCTTGAGAAGAGGTGGTAAAATCTAGCGACATGACTACGAGCCATTTACGACGTCTCAGCTCACCTTCGTGAGGCGAGATGTTCGGAAATCTCGACGGATCTCTGTGGTATCCCATTCGGAAACAAAGACGTACAAGCATGCCAACTAGCATGTAGATGCTGAACTGGCTATCGCTTGAGCGTAGAAATTCGGTGCCAAAATACAACAAGAACGCTTCGATCGTGTATGGCGGTGTTTTGGTATAGTTTGCAAGAATCATACCTAGATATTGACGTACGGACTTAGCAATTGCGTCACATGTAGTTTGTACTCAGGTCCTGCTTACATTGCGCAGCCTTCTCGCGATAAAAGCCGATTTGCACCAGATCAGGAGCCAGTCTAGTATCGTCAGGTTGATGAGCGTTCACCCCGGCTTGGAAACGAAAGCCAAGTGCCAGTGCAGCGTAGAGAACACCCAACCACATAGTTGAAGTTTCGAATGGTTGTGTCCACAGCTCATTGTACTGTATGATTATTAGCTACCTGAGGTAGAAATAGACATATGATCTCACCTGTTTAAGAAAGGTTGGCTTGTGGATGAGGGCTGGAGATATCAGTGGGCGCTCTTCAATCGAGGTAGTGAACATACTTGGATGAGATTCCATTGATATGAAGAATGTATCAATGAGTCGATCCGCTTCTGGCCGTGGAGGAAGAGCGGCGAGCAACTCTTCTCTAGTCGCATGGAGATTACGTCCAAACAGCAGCTCCGGACCGGGTACTTCATTCGCCACTTCGTCATCCGGGTCGGGCGATACGGGCACCTGGTCGAGATGTTCGCGCAGCTCAGATATCTGGGCTGATATTAGAGAGGTAAGAGTCTCTGTGAGAGGTTTCACGTACGCTATCAAGTATGCTTGTCCAATGTCCACTGTTCGTATAGCTTGTTGCATCGCAGCTGAGATTTACGCGATCTGGCGTGCCAGGCAAGTCACCATTGTTGCCTCCGTTATGATGTTGCCGCACTTGTGATGGGCTGAATTGCGCGGGATTAGCTGTATCAACCGCGTTTCCACCGATGAGATTGGTGACGAGCTTCTCGAGTTGATCAATCCTGTCATGGACGCTGGTTGGGATTTTGGGTTCCTTATGCACTGGTGGGTTGCGAACATAGACGCACGACAGCGAGAGTCCGCGATCGACACATGTCTTGCATGGCTGCTGTCGATCACATTTCAACCTCCAGTCAATTAGCATGCAATTCTTTTGGGCAGGTAAGCTGATTGTTTACTTGCGTCGTCGACAAAGGGTGCAACTCAAGATGGGCTTGTCTCTTCGTCGACTTGGAGGTACCAATCTCGGCGTCTGACCATCCGCGCTCATCTCGAGTGGTAGTATCACAGTGGGTCAAAACAAGGCGTAAGGGCACAACTCGCGTTGTTACGAAGATGCCTTCGGGGCGGCCATCATCTCCGATGCCGAGGCTAACCGCTTCGGCCGAACACCCCCCGCATTCCATCTCAGCTTACGTCACTGTCAGCAATCATAATGTTCCTAGTTCGCGACTGCACCGGTGGAGATTATCCTAAAGACCGTTGCATTCTGATCATCCTTCTCGTTGTCCGACTATCTAAATCGCTGGCACACATGCTAAAGCCGCCATCTATCCAGTTCCTGCTCCGCCTGGTCATTGCCTGTGCCTCACACTAGCACAGTTCCGATCACGCGATCCCCGACTCAGCTTCCGGTGGCAGTCAATAGACTTTTTTTATCCAAAGAATCGGGCTGTCGCTCGTAACTTTCGGCATCACTACAGACTATCATGTGCCCATCCATCAAGCGATTACAGTTACGACCTATCTTATTTTTCTGGGTTGGGCGAAGGTACCTTTTCGAAGTCTTCATCCATCCTAGAGGTATGACATCCAGTTCATGTCCATGGAAGTATGCCTGTAAAGCAGTGTCCCAAAACAGGCGCCACGATTCAGACTTGACATTCCGGAGGCCGATACGCTTAATGGCATGCTGGGGCGCGCGTTGAGAATGTGGAACCAGGCGACACACAGGTTTGAACCAAATCGTGGCAATCGTCCGGTTTTGCGGCGTGGACAGAATAGACGTTAGGTCTTCCCACCTCTTGAAGTCTCCAATATCGAAGGTGGACAAGCGGTAGAAGAGTGGAGTCGCTTCACAGCGCATTTGCTTACATGCGAAGAGGAGGCCAACAGGCTCGCGGTTAGAGATTGGCGCACCTTCGTATGTGGACGAAACCGACTTGATCTTTTTGCCTAGACAGCTGTATTCCCAGATCTTATTACGCAGCTCACCAGGAAGCCGAAGAAGAGCTGAGGTAAGCCGATTTCTCTTTGTACTATGCCTATTAGCGATTGATCAACAAACATGCAAGACCGCTTACATGGCTTTAACTCTATTGGGAGCCGTATTCCAATCCTGCATCTCTGAAGCAAGTGTTGAGGACATGGTGATGTTTGAAGTTGGACACTGGAAAAGAATACTGAGAGAGTGTAGATGTTTAGATGTAACTGCGGGTTTAAGAGCGCGTGGGAGTTTAATGGCCGTGCCTCAGCTCAAGCTTTCCGGGAACATACGATTTTCCATTCACCCTTGTGCCTTGACGACCTGCAATCGACCCGATACATACGTTGTGAAAACGGAGTAAGTCACTGGCAACTGACAATGACCAGAATCGGCTCGCCTTCACGGTTGCCCATCATCGGCAGCTCTCAGGATACCCTCCAGTCCTGCCTCAAATACAATCTCGATGGCTGGCTTTCCATAAACAAGGCGAAATGCGCGCACAAGGTCAGCCCTAGTATCGGAACTGAGGAGTGACAATTTTAGCCTCGAACCTTTGACGTGAACCGTGTTCAAAGCCGGGAACGCGTTTGCGTTAGCCCTCCCTTGAAGTTCAACCTCTTCCTGGAACCATTTGGCCGGGTAGGCCCAGTGTACATATTGGAATTCTACCGACAACATAGAGATTTGAATCGAGGTGATCCGCGCACACCGCTCAGCTCCAATGGCGATGATAGCGGCTTCGTGGCTATAAGGCAGGGCCATTTCCATTTCGAAGGTCGCTGTAGTATAGAAGAGTGAGTTGGCTTCACGGTGGAGCTGCCGACAGCAGCAAACGAGACCGATAGGGTTTGTCGCGCTTTGCTCGCCTTTCTGCGGATGCATACGTATCATAGAATCTGTGAACGTGAATAGATAGATGAGGTTACGGAGTTCTGCAGGAAGTCGTAGAAGAGGCGATGTAAGTTGGTTGACCCGCGCACTATTCCAGTTAGCGATCATATACCCATGTCTTGAACAGTATTGTACGCGTTAGCCTTCAAGGTGGAGATGCGAGCTTACATCTGGTCGCCTGTTGTAATCGTCAGACCAGTCGACTCGGGATTGAGCGCCATGATGCAGTCGTCACTGTATTGAAGCGTAGTTGTTATGTTCACGAAGTGGGCGCCATTAGAGGAACGAAAACGGACGGAAGTATTGCCCTTCAGTCTTCATGCTCTGCCCGAACAGGCTAGGTGCTTCGCAGGTAGGTAATGACGTCATTGGCTGCTACCTCTAGATAATGCAGCTTCTACCATCCCACAACTCAGCAGACATGTGCAGCGCGGAAGCTTTAGCATTGCCAGAACGAACTTCTCGGCGACTAGTCAGGCTGTCTACATGTCAACGAGAACAGAGATGTCGCCAGTCTTCGCTACACGCCCGATGCGTCGCTCGCAACCCCACACGCGCCCTTCCGCCACCGAAAGCATCATTGATAGTTTGTCCGGCCCACGAGTTCGACATCCGACTCCGAGAAATCCTCGCGCTTGACTTGGATATCGATAGCCTTCGAGATACCACCCATAGACAGTCGATGTCCTGATCTCCGCATACGATAGCGATCGTCACTAGAGACGTAGCTGCTCTTCCCGGAGCCTGAGGATATGCTGCATATCCTTGAAATTGTATGCTGGTATATCGCATGCATGGCAGGCATGCATGCGACTACGATAAAGAGGTTGGCTTCGGTTACACACCAGTAAACACCGGATACGTTGTCGTCTATGATTGCGCCGTCAGTCATTGTGCAGCCAACAGGAGGAGCAGTACTCACAAGTCGGATTTGAGCTCTGATCGAATCGGACGAGAGCCCATAAGCGAAGGCAGCTGACGATGAAGATGATGAAGCCCACAGCGAACATAGAGATAATCTGGACCTTCTTCTTCCAGGACATCTGGAGTCTCGCTAACATGGGCAATGGTAGCGATAGGATTGCCACGTCGAGCATGATTTCAATGGCGCCGCGAATGAATCCAAATAGCCGAACATCGACGGTGCATAGGCCACTTGTTTCGCCTTTCCACCCGTCCCAGAAGAATGAGATAGGTTGGCATTGAAACATCATGGCTCCTGTATTGCCGATACCGAAGCCGGTAACAATCCCCATCAGGATATACGTGGTTGTCCGTAGTTTTGGCGAGGTTGCGATCCGCAGGTAAAAGGCCAGGATGGACAGTTGACAGAAGGCTTCTGCGATTTGGTACATGAAATAGGTAACGTACAACCACTGCAGCAGAATTTAGCTTCAGAACGGGCGCTCAAGGCGAGGCTTACCTTGAAGCTATTTGTTATCGCCGCTGGCGATATCCCCCACATGTCTCTTCCGAATCCGAGACGACCCGCTAGGAGACCCATCAGTTGACCGTTGCATCTCTAAATGGAATGTTGGGAGTGATTTACCGACGATGACAGGGACGTTCTGAAACAACGAGGCCAACTACCTTCCGTCAGCTCTAGCACCCCGCACGCTCAACGTTCATGACTTACTCCAGATAGCCCGATGAGTAGGTCGTCTAGGCCAAGCTTGGCTTTGGCTGAAAAGAACCGGTCTGTCAGTCGCAAGACAACCATTAGTACAGCAAGAGCGCCAATAGAGGCCGTGACAGCGATCATTGTCTCGCTCTCATCCCTGATCGGTATGCCACAAGCTGCGTAGCTTTGGTTAGTCGCACTAAGTGATGCGGGCACAGTGCAATTTGCAGCATTGCAATTCGCAAATTTTGTCTGGAAGGCCGTGTCGGCACACAGACAACCGAAGTCATCTGGTTTGCAACTGCTCGAGGGTACAAGAGCTTGGAAACACTTTACCTGCGGTTCTTAGTCATCAATGCTACGAAATCTCAATCATCAACTAACTGCACAAGTCGGTAGTTTTCGCAGGAAATCGTCTTGCGCGAGTATAGGTAGCACGAAGATGGCGAGTGCTGCAAAGCACCGGAAGATCTTCATCGCGACGATGGTCGAGTGAAAAGATGTGTAGCGGCGCAACATCTGCTACGAAGGAAGCATTTGGGGTATATGTCCAACATGACGCATGATCTATAGCTCAGGTCAGCGACGATCCGTTAAGGGGATTACCTCCTTGAGCGTTTGACGGCTCGCAGGATCCGAAGGATTATGGGCGTGGTTTCAGTCGCCCCATCAAACTACCATGCCGTGGAAGATACGCGCGCAATGGGAGACGATCACTGGTAGGCTCCAGGGCTTGCCCTTTTCTGGCAGGTCGGTGCCGCAACCAACAAAATCGACGTTCATAACTTGACGGATTTACCCTTTCGGCACGGCCCAAATCCCGCGGGAATTACTGCACTTTATCTCACTGGCGGAGAAGTTTCCCGAGCAATTTGTATCTGCACCAATGCGGCGCAGTCGTTCTAAGCGAACCGTTATCACGCAGCAAGATCCTAATACGGCGAAGGATCTGGCTTGGCAGCACAGGTATCTCGATTATGTTACAATCCCGGCAATTGCTTTTCCTCATCACTTTCATCACCATGGCTATCGTGCTATCCGCCACGATTGGCATTGCGTTCGCTACATTTGCCATAATTTACGCAACCCGTTGGCATCTAGGGAGAAAGAATGCTCTACCTCTTCCCCCGGGCCCAAAGGGCCTCCCACTTCTTGGAAATGTCAACGATATGCCCAAATCTGGCATGCTTGAGTGTCACCATTGGTTGCAGCACAAGGAAGTTTACGGCCCCATCAGTTCCGTCACAGTGCTAGGGCAGACCTTCATCATCATTAACGACCCTGAGATTGCGTTTGAGCTGTTGCGCGATCGCTCGGCGATTCATTCTTCGAGACCTAGCCAAACCTTCAGCGGTGATATGTACGTCAATGGCTCGCAATAGCTACGTGGTACTGTATGATCGGCCACTTGTTGACCACGCGAACAGGGTAGGATGGCGGCATGCCACTGCGATGACTCCGTACTCCGCTGAATGGAAGATCCAACGCAAGAATATTACCAAGATCGCGAGCACGAACATTTCCGTATCAGTATTCGATAAAGTGCAAGAGACAGAAGCCGCGCACTTCTTGCTCAACTTACTGGAGTCGCCCGACAAGCTCTTTGACCATATACGAAAAGAGGCAGGCAGTGTTATTCTGAAGATCACATATGGCTACAACACTGTAGCCAGCGGCAACGATCCTTTCGTCGATATGGCTGCTAAAACCATGGAGCAGTTCGCCGATGCTACAGTTCCCGGGAAGTGGTCGGTAGATATGTTCCCGTTCCGTGAGTATCGCTTCCTGATGATTCATATGGCTTTTGACGTCAGCTAGTGCGGTACTTGCCAGCATGGCTGCCAGGCACGGGGTTCAAAGACACGGCGAGACGAATGGAGGCGCAGCTTCGCCAATGCACTAACCAGCCGTATGAGTTCGTGAAAAAGCAGATGAAAGAGCAAAGGCATTCGCCATCTTTCTTGTCGCAGTGCATCGAAGGTCTCGGTTCGGATGCTGAGATGGAGTTCGTTCACAAATGGGCGGCGTTGGCGCTCTACCTCGGCGGTGCTGATACGGTAAGCTTGTGGGCAGATATCGACGCCTCTATCGCTTTACTGACTCAACCAATAGACCGTGTCCTCCATCATGACCTTCTTCCTTGCCATGACTGTCTTCCCCGAAGTCCAAAAGAAGGCCCAAGAAGAGCTAGACCGCGTCATCAGCGGAAGCCGACTACCAGTTAGTAAAGACAAAGAGAAGCTTCCTTATATCGAAGCCACCATGAAAGAGACCCACCGCTGGCACCTCGTCTTACCAATGTGCCTTCCACATTGCAGCACCGAAGAAGACACCTGCCGCGGCTATCGCATTCCGAAAGGCTCTATCCTTCTACCAAACAACTGGCATTTTACGCACGACCCCGAAGTCTATCCCGATCCGATGGTCTTCAGACCAGAGCGTTTCCTCGAAACACCCACTCATAAAAGTGAGCCCGATCCTAGAAACTTCATCTTCGGATACGGTCGCCGCATCTGCCCGGGCCGATACGTGGCGGATAACGCGCTCTTCATCACCATCGCCCAGACTCTCGCGGTGTTTGACATTACCAAGTTCGTTGATGGAGATGGTCGCGTTGTGGAGCCGGAGGTGAAGTTTGAGCCGGGAGCGATCAGTCACCCTGTGCCATACCGTTGTTCGATCAAACCGCGATCGGAGGAACATGAGCGGCTGATCAAGGCTTCAGAGCAATTGTTTCCTTGGGAGGAAAGCGACGCCAAAGAGCTGGAAAATATAAGCTGGTAATATAAGGGCAAGCGCCCGCCCAAACACATGCGTGTTGCGTAAACTTCTTTGCTACCTGCACGTTGTGAGTGTAGGGGTTTGCGAACGCGTAGCGTCTGTACCAAAACATCAGGTACAACGGAAGAATGGAAGACTTGTGGTGGGTGCGAGATAAGGTGCAAGCCATCCGGGGCAATTTTGATTTGGTGCGCACTGCCTATCTGCGGACCGCCCCTCTTTGTCATCGTCTTTGTATAATGTTGAAATTCTCTCTAATGTACAAAGGCCGTCAAATGCCTGTGTCTACGACACGTTGCTGATAGCAATATCTCAGTCCATGTCACACACGTTCCGCCATTGTGGCTTTTCCTACTCCTTCTTGGGTAGCGGATTGACAAACTTGTCCTCGTGAAGCTCTTCGTCTTTAGGTGCCACACCACGTTCTTGTAGTTGTTTGAGCGCCTCTGGGGCTACCTTCCCAATTTGGTGGCTCCTGTATTGATTGGTCTCAGAACGCGTCAGCCACGTCAAACGACCCTCGATTTCCGTATCATGAATGTTCTCGATCGCTTTGTCTGCACCCTCTTTGGTTGCGAAATCGATGAAGCAAAGAATGCGCGGTTCTTTTTTCTTATCGCCGTAGAATGGCGCGAAGTCACTGATGCGTTCGATGGTACCATGTTTGGCGAACTGCTCGTCAAGTATCCGCAGCGCGTTCTGTTTCTGTTTGCCGATGCTGGTATTGGACGTCCAACCGGGTGTCTGAACTCTAACCATCAAGCGACGACCTTCGAGCAATGGGTGTACAGCTTCGAGTGCAGCGGCGGGGCCCTCGTCAAAGAAGTAGCGAGTAGCGTACTTGTGGTCTCGCTTGTCCTGCACGGGGCCCCAAATGAAGTCGTCTTTGAGAGGCCTGACGATAAGCTTCTTGCGCTGTAGCTCTGCGTCATTAAGCTCTGCAATGACCTTGGCAGCCTCTGCTTCGCTTCCAAGTTCCGCGAAACACCTGGTGTCGTTCTGGAAAGTGTAGCGATCAAGACGCATCTGCAATCTCTTGCTGGGTGATCATTAGCTCGAAACCCTGTTTGTGAAATCTCCAAAGGGATGTTATAAGACGTACACGGTGCATCCTTTTGATCGTAGTAGATCTTCCATCTCTCCTCTTGTCAGTCGTTTTGGTATACCCAAGAAAGCAACCCCTGATGATGGGCTTGATGTCGGAGCGCGCGCATCAGTGAGTGCAATCTCTGGTCCTCTCGACGGTGTCTCGATGATATTCTCCCGCCTCAGTTGGCTGGCAGCGAACTCTCGCTTCGTAATCGATGTTCTGATCAACGGAACAGCTGACTGAGCAACGCGTACGGAAGGCGTTGTCCGAGCAAAGAGGCAGCGCCCACGAGAGAGTATCCTGGGTACAGCCATAATTAATTGTGTTAGTCCGAAGGTGATGGTATGTGCATCCGCAATCGATGATGGCGAATGATCGCGTCGACTCGAAAAGACGCCAGCCAATATCGCGCTAAGCAGAGAAAGTTCCTTGGCTTGCCAAGACCTGGCTTATCGATAACACTGTCACGAAAGCAGCGAAACTGCAACCGCCACACCGTTCAGTCCTTTTCAACGAATAGCTCGACCAAGCTTTCGCCCACTGGATATATTGGCACAGCAAAAAATATTCTATCAAACGCTTGAGGGAAATTTATCAAGATAGTTCATGGATCAAGCTACTTAGAGATCATCTAGCCCTAAACTGTAAGACTGGCCCGTCTTTCTTGCTCGCAAAGACGTCCTGGATCTGATATTCAGACGCCCTTGTCCTACCGACTTCCAAGTCCTTGCTTCCAGCACCCAATGTCGTGCCCGGCGCCAGTCTCAGATCGTACAGATAAAGTACCCTGGCAATCGTTACCGACAGCTCAACATACGCGAGACCCTTGCCAATGCATCCACGAGGACCGATGCTGAAGGGGTTGTACGCCGACTGCGCTGCCTGGAGACTGCTATGAAGCGGGTTCGCGGATGGATCAGATAGCCATCGCTCAGGAATGTAGTCGAACGGTTGAGGGAAGTAATCGGCGTTGTGGTGAATGGCGTAGATCGGGACGCCCACGTCGCAGCCGGCAGGAATGTGGCGACCATCGATATCCAAACCACCGGCAAGGACTTCTCGAGGAAGAGCACCGGCGACTGGGGGTGTCATGCGCATGGTCTCGTCGATGCAAGCGCGTAGGAATGAGCAGCCGCTGAGCTTGGGTCCGGTTACGATTTCCTCAACATCATTGAATGTTTCCCGGATCTCTTTGCAGACTTTCTGCATCGCTGCGGGGTTATGTGCGAGGTAGAAGAAGGCACCAGCCATGGCCGTTGAAGTTGTATCGGAACCGGCGATGATCAGCAAGTTTGATTCGCCCCAAAGCTCATCCATGCTGAAGCCCTTGCCGGTTTCTGGGTCCTTCGCGTTGAGCAGGTAGTAGAAGAAATCTTTACGATCAACGTCGACGCCCAACTTCGTTCGCTCCATAGCCTGGCCCTTGCTGTACTGCATGTACTGCGCCCGCTGGCCTGCAATCTTGCGGAAGAAGAGCTTGTCCAGGTGCCAGTTGTGGATGGTAAGGTGCGTTCCGCAGATGAGATGTCGGTGTGCTGCGTTGCCAACCAGCTGAGTTGCGAAGCGATTGGTAGGGCTTTCCAACATGCCAAAAGCCTTTCCAAATACCAGATCACCCATGATGTCGAAAACGAGCCACTCGCACCAATGTGCGGCGTTCCAAGCGTCGTTCCAGCCACCATCCTTCTCATCAGCGAGACTCTTCTCGGCGGACCAGTTGTTGCTCTTGCGTCCGAGCAGTTCGCAGCCAACACGTACATTTGCCAGGATGTACTTCTCGAGACTCTTGATGGCCGAGTCGCTGAAAGCGTGGCTCATTACACGTCTCTTGCGTGCATGCTGCATCTTGTCGATAGAACTATGGACGCTGACCGCTTTGGGTGTACTGGGAAACGCTTCGTAGAACGACGCCTTCTTGACGTTTGATCGGAATCCATAGATGGTCTTAAGACCAGTGGCGGTGTTGACAGAAAGTAGATTCGGCCCAAGACGGACGTACGGTCCATATTGCTCGTGCGCGCGGTGGAAAGCGAGATGTCGAGAGCCCTTGTAGGCGTAGTACGCCAGATAGATATCTGTGATCTTTGCGAGAAAAGGGCCTGGGTATGATGCAAGAGGATGGAATGTCAGGCGGTAAACGATCACTCCGAAGATCTGAGCATGGTGTTAGCTTTTAATGCCATGAGAACGGGGAGCAACGTACGTAGAGAACCAGCGCTCCGAAGATGGAGGCCAGTAGGAATAGAATTGCCATATTTGCGACAGCTCAAGGCGAGTTGAATGGGTGTGGTGTTATTGGTATCGAACAAAGATCATTGCCACAAACACGCGTGCAGTTGTACAATTCGTGTGCGCGAAGGAGAGTACCAAAATCGTTTCACCAACAAGATCCTGTGCAGATAAAGGTACATAAGTACTCATTCACCCTCCACCACCATCCGCAGCTCCCGCAATACCCTCCCTGATCCCAGCTCCATCGCGATGACAAAGATTAACAGCGTTGTGGAGTAGTCTCGTGCCCTTCTCATCGCAGAATCGGCGAGCGGGTGTCTTGGGTATACGTAGCGGCGTGTCACGGCTAATGTCGGATATCGATGCAGAACGCCGTGTCGCAATCACGTGCAGCGGATATCACAGCAAGCGAGGACACTAGTGCGGCTACCCGTGCCATCCCACCTTTTTCGGGATTGGAAGGGCGCGGATATCGTGCGCGTAAGCCTGGCAACAATCACGGTTGCAACGGCAGTGGGGTAGGAACGATTTTGCCTCATGCATAGTCAACGACGCACGTGCATGCACAGACGCTGGTTCAAATCATCTTGGACTAGCAAGCACACAATAAGTTCACTGCGGCTAAGGGGGTGGTAGAAAGCACCTGGGCAGTGATAAGCTGGAGCTGCAAGCCATCTACTATCAACGCTTCTAGCTGAATGCTTTCTCAGATCCGGCAAAGATTATAGACTCAGCATTCAGAGGCGGGTAATCGAGATGTATCGCTAACGCTCTCATCGCCTGCCACGTTGACCGTGAAGCACCAGTACCTCGTGGTACGAGCGTTCGGCTGGAGGCAATGACTGCAGGCTGGTGTATAATTGAGATCAGAGCGAAGGCGAAAGATCGCGAGTGTAGTCGCGGTTCTTGATGTTTGCGACAGACCTGACGAATGAAATGGCGCGAGTATCAAAGCGGGTAGTGCCGTCTTGGCATCCATCGAGCTTCGCGAACATCACCAAGCGTCACGATAGTCGACCCAAACGCGCAACAGCACGGCACCGGCCCATTGACCCATTGACACCCTTGCAGTCTGTCTGGAAGGCCAATCCCTCAAGATGTCTGTCGCTAAGAATGTGAAGACTACTGTCTTTTCGGTACGCAGCCCGAACCGATCTCGAATGCCTTTACCTCGCCGCCCCTCTTCAGCCATTAACCATTGCGAACACGGGTACTGACTGTAGACCTGTAGAAATACACCGTCCAGCCCACCGGAATCTATGCCGCGATTAACAGGCTCTTCGCGCTCGACCCCAAGCGCTCCACGGGTATCCCCATGAACCCGCAATTCCGCAACCCACCCCCAGGCGGTCTCGACCCCAACTCTTACGACGACCCTGTCACTCTCCCTGCCGCTGATATCGCCGAGAACCCATACTGGAAGCGCGACGTGCGACGACGATACCCCAGGCTCTCGACAGTCACCCAGTCCGACGCGGTTGCGCTGCTCGAAGTTGGAAGCGCGGCAGCACCCAAGCAGGAGCTGATTGGCGAGGCAGGCACAAAGTCGCTGGTCGCGGCGAAAGAGGAAGGCGCCAAGGGACTGGCGGTCGCGTTTGAGAAGAACACTGGACTTGCAAAGGATGTGCTGGGACCTGGTGGTATGCCTCCGCTACCAAGCGGGCTGCACAACACCCTTGCTGGCGGACACAAGCGATACGAGCTGGAGAACGAGCAGTCATATGGCACAGCGTAGGTCTTCTCATCTGATCTTGCAGGAGCGACACTAATGCGATACAGATACCCATGCCGGACGTTTGCTTAGAGTACAAGATGAACTGGGTAGGTAGAGAAAGATGATCCGTTTTCTGTATATATGGAGACATTTCTTCCATGCTTTCCGTGTAGCCATCAGTGAACTTTCATGACACCCCTTGTCATGAGCGCGTGGGAGTGTTGTAGGTGGAGCGCACGTGTCCGAATGTCTGATCCATGTCTCTTGTGTCTCACCGTGCGTTTGTGTCGATTCTTCACCTCGCATCCTCTGTTGTTCCTTATCGTCCGTCACCGCGTCGAGAAAGGAAAGCACGACGTGTGTTGATGTCTTGGCGCTGTTGACAGCGACTGCCTCGCCGTCACTTCCATATCTCAACTGCCCCCACCATCCACCCCCGCGTCGCTCCTGTCCTCTTTCCACATCGTCGCAACCGCAGTCATGAGCGCTGTGTCGGAGAAGGGACCAACAGAGCTGGGCGCTGATCCCCTCAACTTCATCTACGCCTGCTCGGTGTGTTGCGCCTCCTTCGCGGATGTCTACGAAGGCCACAACGAGACAGTTCGTGGCCTGTCAGATGGTATCAACCCGAAAGAGCGCCTTGTGACGCGCCTGTTCCTCGCCAGTTGCTGTCATGTCTTCTGCAGCAGTCATTTGGAGGGCGGCGGTAAGTGAAGCGCGACCGCACATTAGGCAGCTGCTGACAGCCACGACAGGACCGCCTTTCCATACAGCCGGACAGCGACCCCAATCACCCTGTCCCGTCTGTATCAAAGAGAAAGGCGACAGTGAGCCGCGCGATCTCTTCTCGATACGCGGCTTCAAGAAAGATGAATACGATCCTAACATTCCGCTCGCATGGTTCACCGCACCTCCCATCCGCCTCGATGGTAGCGGAAAAGAGATGGAGGCATTGCGCGTACGTCATGCCACCCACAGGTCATGACACCAGCTAACGATAATCAGTTCCAGTATATTGCGCTTATTCGATACTGCCAGAACACCTATGCGACCCGCAAGCCCCTTCAAGACGCCTTAACCAATGTGGAGAAGAAACTGGCTAGTGCGCAGGATCTTGCCTCCAAGGAACACGCGAAAGTCGTTACACTCCAGCAAGAGAACGAGCGACTACGACTGCAGAAGGATCAGTTTCAAGCCATGAGAGCCGAGGTTCAGCGACTCCAGGGTCTCGATGAAGAGGTTGCGCATTTTCGCGATGTCAACCCAAAGGACCTCGCAACATTCCTGGCAAACAAGTCAGCAATTCGCCATTACTTGAAGCTTGTGCCTATGCTAGTCGAGTAGGCCGAATACGCCATGCTACGAGGCATTTGCTAACCGCTCCAGTCAAAACGAGAGGATGCAGAAGCGACTTGCCCAACTCGGCTTTGCAATGGCACTAGAACCTGTACCTAACTTCAAAGGCATTGACCCTCACGCATTCGATAGCGACGAAGCTTCGCCTGAGCGCAGCGGCCGATCGGACGGCAAGCTGCGAACGACTGCCTCAAGCCATACCGCCGGTAGATCGGCTCATACAACTGGGCGGTTGGGAACAGCATCTTCAGGGTCCTTTGTCCCGCGACCCATGAAGCGGCAACGCCTCGATTCACCCCTTCCCACCAACACCCAAGCCGGCCATCCTTCGAGCCGAGATGCCATGCCACCTCCGCCAAAGCCGATGTCCAGGATGCAATCCATGCGCAAGATGTTTCCGAGCCTGCGAAAGAAGTTCTCCAGTGACCGCTCCAGGTCCGCAGCAGATGGATCCTTCGAGGACGATGCAGACGTGCAAATGTATGATAACGGACACTGGCAAGATGTTGAAGTCAGTCGTCACCCGGGACGCGATGACTTCCGCGACGAGACACCGTACATGTCGGGAGCGCTGCCCGTAGAACAGCCCCATCAAGCCTCTGACGTTCGAGGATCGCAGCTACTTGCTAGTGTAGGCCTCAAAGACAACCGGCCAGACTTCACATTCCGAGCATCGTCTCCAGTCAAGATGGACAAGCAAAGCAGTGGCCATCGTCCGGTTCATTTGCCTACTGAGCCTTCATACATTCGTCTTATGGATGGTTTGTCGCGCGACAATGGGATGGAGCTCGGTCTGAAAGATCCTCGCGAGCAGACTAGCACGGACTATCGTAACGATGGCAGGAATAGGCAAGTACTACCTGCTTATCGACATGAGCACCACGCCGAACGAGCTGATTACCGGAGGCCTTTGGATCTTGGACATCCGTTCATGCACCAGTCACCCCACAGATCTCCTGCCTCTGTCGATGCGCGTCAATATCCTTCTAGCGACCACCAGACTAACGAATGCACAAACAGAGCTCACGGCATGCCGGATCTTGGCCCCACTACGCCAGCACCGAGGCGCCAACAAAATCCCGGCCATCAGATCGAGAGTGTAGTAAGTCCCTATTTCCGAACCGGTCATAATCAGGCCCGAGTCCATCCATCGCCCGGCCGCTGAACTTCAGGATAGTTCCGATCATTCCGGCGATTATCGGTCACGAAGGTCAAGGACGAACCAACCTCAGGCCGGCTGGGTTGAGGCTCGCAGTCTAAACGGCCTCTCATTCTTCGATTCGCCCGTCGATTCTAGGAACGAGCCTATTGAGGTGGACCACCGCCGTAGATTGGTAGAGCTAGCACCAACGCCATACTCACATCAGCATCAAAGACGTCATCTTAATTCACGTGGCTTCATCATACGCCCGGAAGAGGGACGCTCACCGTATACCAGCGACAGTGCCTATGGCTCTTCCCAAAACCGAGAACTTTACAATAGAGACGCGCTCAATTATTCCCAAGCAGTGGTCGATGTACCGCCCGCATATCGCCCAAGTCGTTCCCGCATCGGTCAGGTGCCCTCTATCATGCCTTCCATTGTTCCAAGCCGTCTACCTGCCCGGGTCCAACCTCAATGGGAGAACCTGCAGCGAGCGGGCGTCAGGAGTAGCCGTAATGCTTTCAGTAGTGTTGCTGGGAACAATTATGCTGCGCCTTTGAGGACTGTCTTCCCCAGCGCTGGTCGGCGCAATGTTAGACGGTAAAGGCAACCTATGCGTTTCTTTTCCTACCGAATAGTCAATTAGAGCACTTGGCTTCATGAATGGCCATTGTCGCATGGCGATTCGGCGTGTGTATGACCGGACAAAGAAATGATTAGATTTCCAGTTCTGCTATCAGCGATTTTTATCTGTGAGCTACTCCTGCAAGACAAAATTTTAGGTACGATCAGCGTCAACCTCGTCTATATGCTCAACTGTTGAACACCCCTTTATGACTACGACTGCAGCATGCAAAACGGAGATGCGCACCGCGTTCCGCAGACCGTTCGATGCGACGATCAAAAGCCATCGCAGTGAGCGGATTTGCTGTCACGCATCGCGTTCAATCAAGAGTTTGCCCCATGATGCTTAGCACGCCCACGCCTTCCCTCTCTGAACACGGAGTCTGTCGATTCGACTCACATGTGGGTAGACAGCCGGCAGATGGGAAGCTAAGACGAATGCGGTAAGGATCAAGGAGGTTTAATATGCGAGGACTATGCAACGAAGCTTCCTCGGCATGCAAGGGCCAATGCCGGTTTTCGATGACATTCATTGGCGGAGTATCATGCGCAGCTTATTGTGTCACATACGCACCTGATTACTTATCCTCCCTGTTGCAGAACTTCGACAGACGGCGCGATGGTTTCATCTTAGCGTTTTTCTTTGCCGACAGGCCGTTGTAACCTCCCCACGAATCGTAACCCCTGCGTCCCCGCAAAGCCACCGCGCATGACCCACGATCCCGGTCATTGAAGCTTCCCTTAATATGGCCAAGCAATCTATCAGGCACCGCGGCTTCAAAGCTTCAGAACTATGATGCCACATCCATCACTTTCATATTGGCATCAGATGAAGGCCCACTCATTGCCATGGAAGAAACGGAAGGCAGAGCCCGTCCATTTGTGGGGCATTGAATCATTGGCATGCGAACTATTCGCGGTATAAGAGTAATGTTTGCCCAGCAGGTGAAACATAGGACTGTGGAAGTATCCTTCGCATCTCTACACCATGCTATTCAAGACTCTTTTGGCGGCGGCCGCTCTGGCCAGCACCGCTTTCGCGGCTCCTGCTGAAAAACGCCAAACTTCCCGCAAGATGAAGTGGTTCGGAATCAACGAGTCTGGTGCCGAATTTGGCGAGAAGAACTTCACAGGTGTCTACGGAAAAGAATACACCTGGTACGATCTCAACACCATCGACAAGTTCATGGACGAGGGAATGAACATGTTCCGTTTGAACTTCCGTAAGTCATACCTCCGTAACCCAGAATCCTCAAAACCCCGACCTAACATTACCCAGTGATGGAGCGCCTAACCCCCAACTCCCTCACCGGCGCCTTCGACCCCCTCTACCTTGGCAACCTCACGGAGCAAATAAACCACATAACCTCCAAAGGCTCGTATGCCATGATCCAACCCCATAATTACGGGCGCTTCCTTGGGAACATCATCACCGACACCGCCGCCTTCAAAACCTGGTGGACCAACGTGGCCGCCGAATACAAAGACAACGACCTCGTCGTCTTCGACACAAACAACGAATACCACGACATGGACCAACAGCTCGTCTTCGACCTAAACCAAGCCGCCATCGACGGCGTCCGCGCAGCCGGCGCCACAAAACAATACATCACCCCCGAGGGCAACAGCTGGACCGGCGCGTGGACATGGATTTCCTCCGGCAATGGCGCCAGCATGGTTAACCTGAAGGATCCAGAGAATAAACTCGTGTACCAAATGCACCAGTATCTCGATACTGACGGCTCTGGTACTTCGGCCACGTGTGTCAGCGCAACGATTTTCAAAGAGAGACTCCAGGCTGCGACTAAGTGGCTTAAGGATAATAAGAAGCAGGGTGTTATTGGTGAGTTTGCGGGCGGGAACAACGCGCAGTGTATTTCGGCGTTGCAGGACGGGCTGAAGTATATGGGTGAGAATAGCGATGTTTGGCTGGGAGGGATTTGGTGGGCGGCTGGGCCGTGGTGGG